AATCCAAAGCCCGTATTCCCGGAATATTAGGAATTAAGACTGGAAAAGTAAGCAGGTATCTCAAGGGCCCACGTAAAAACTGAATTTTGTCTCTTAATTAAGTAGGCTCCACCGAATGATTAAGAGTCGCAAAGCCACAGGAACTGACAGGCAGTTTAGAAAGACCTGAGGCTGGTGAGAGGCTGAAGGCAAGGTAACTAGTCACGAGTGCGGTTCCAATACGCAGGTGCATGGGAAGAGTGGTCCAGACAAGAGCACAAGAGCAGGCAGGAGGTCGCAAAGAAGACCTGCCGGGGGGGCGGGATCAAGATTCCCCGAGCCTGACGCCGGGCAAAGCACGAGTTTGAGGTCACCGGCACATCCAGTAGCGCTTTCACGTACTGTACTCAGGGGACCAAAGCCGCACAGACCACTACGACCTGCCCACCTGCGCCCGGTGCCCTGCACTGTCCCGCGGCCCCGGCCCGGGGCCGGGTAACCCGACCGCGGGCGGCGGGGGCCAGTCCGGGACCAGACCGTCACCCAGGCCGAGGAGGCGGGTGCAGAGTCATCGTGCCCACAGTTCCTCAGCAGCGGCTGCCGGCGGAGGCCCGCTATCTTTACGCTCACAACCCCCACCCAACGGACAGCGACCAGGCTTCCGCCGACCACCGGGGACCAAGGCTCACCAGAGAGAAGACACTGAAGAGGGGAGATCTACAGAGACGGAAATAGTCTCGGGGAGAACTACCACCGCCTCACAGCGTCCGCTGCGAATATGGCCCCCGCGCGTGCGCAGAGCAGCAGGGGGCGGGGCGGTAAGGACGCGGAAGTCCTCCTGGAGGCGGGGCGAGAACTGGTGCCCAGGAGAAACTGGAGAGTTGCTGCGGGTCGGCTCAGGCTGGTGTCTTCAGCGCCGCTGGGGCGAATTGTGCGGCATGGAAGGCGGGCTGGCGACCCCCGCCTAAGGATCAAGTGGAATTATAGCGGATTTCCCTTTACGCTTTGTTTTCATTTTTACTTTCTCCTCTTTACCACTGTTGGTGGACCTAGGATAAGCATTAATGTGGACTTGCTACCCACCATTCCAGCCCCTTTCCCCACAATTGTCTCAACCACATCAGACTTTACCCTTCGTTCTGTTATGGTCTCCCTTCTAAAATCTGGCTTCCACTTTTATTATTAATATATGAAATTTTTGACATATAAAGCAAATTGTATTGGGAATCACACCTGTGGGACAACTTTCACTTTCATTTTCTGTCTCAGAAAGTATCTCCCCCCACCAATCTAGTTTAAAGGAGCGCCCTACCATCACCAGATGCACACAGCATATTATCTTCTTTGCTGAATTTGTCATGTTTTCTTGTTTATATTGTTGCCAAAATCTCAGTCCTTATCCCTGATGCCAATCCAATGAGGAGGACATGGTTTTGAGAAAAAGGAAAAAGGTGGTTTACTGTTTTGCTAACAAAGGAGAAACCAGGGACTCTAAAAGGCCGTGATTCTGCCCATCAACAGGAACAGGGGCTTTTTTAAAGAGGTACTTCAAAGGCTACATTCCAGGTGTTCTCTATTGGAGTTGTGATTCACTTGTTAATTTGGGAGATGGTCATTTCTGAGATCTTCTGGTAGTATCCCCAAGGTCTGAGTTACTCCATTCCTATGGTGGGTGTGTACACAAGGACAGATTAACTCTGACTAGGATGGGGAAGAAAGGTAATCCAGTTCTCCCCTTCCCCCAAGATTAACAGGGGGAGAGGAAGAGAATGAAACATATCTACTTAAAAAATAAGTTGCAGGGGCAGAGCAGCAAGGTTTATATTCAAAGCATAAAGTGGACCACTATTACATACAGTACGTTCATTATCTTACACTGTTACAGTATGTTCATATCCTTTCCACCCTTTTTCTTATCCAGCTTCATCCCTACTATACATGTTTAGGCTTTTGGGGGGATAGTAGGTTGACTATGTAGTTATTTCAGTCCATTGGACAGGGACTTTGTCCTTTATAGGTAGGCTGTGTAAAATTATTGGTCTGGGCTTTGAAAAGGAGGAGGTAGCTTAGAAATGAGTTACATTTGGAGGTCTCTTCTGTCATCTCTATTTTTCTAACATGGTGGGGGGGTGAGCCAAGGCAAAGTGGTAAAGGGAACATCCAGACAGGTGCTCCAAAAGCACCCTCAAGTGTCACAATTTATGGCACCTCTGACAGTGCCTGCATGCCATCTTAGTTCAGGCTGCAGAATTCAGCAAATACTGAGTGAGAGGGACGATTTCTTAGGTCAGAAGAAGGGGTCAGTTGAAATTAAAGTGCATAAGAATGAATTTGACAAGTTTCAGTGACAGAGTAGTTCAGTATGGCCTGAATGGAGGAGACAATATAGGAAATAAAGGACGAAAGACATTTGAGGGAAGACGTTTGAGGATCACAAGTTTGAGGCCATCTTATAGAGTCCCTCCAATGTCAGAGTCTTTTTTTTTTTTTTTGAGAGAAAGAGAATTTTTTAATATTTATTTTTTAGTTTTCAGTGGACACAACATCTTTATTTTATTTTTATGTGGTGCTGAGGATCGAACCCAGGGCCCCGCGCATGCCAGGCGAGCGCGCTACCACTTGAGCCACATCCCCAGCCCAATGTCAGAGTCTTAAAAAAAAAAAAAAATTTTCCCCCTTCTCAGAAACAGGAGGAAAGGATAAATGTTTCAGGATGATGAGTGCTTAAGATATCCCATCCCACACATTTCTTTCACAATGCCATTGATAGTTCCCATTGAGAGGGTCCATGTCACCCATCTGGGAAGCAGGATGAGCCTGTGACAATAATGGAAGTGATATCATTTGACATGAGAGTAGTTAAAAAGTAACATAATTTATTTTTTTCTTTGGGGAGGGTTCTTATTAGAACCCAGACTCTATGCCATGAAGAAGCAAAGACCATCTGGAGAGGCATTTGGCCAACTGCACATGAGGTGCCAGCATTACTAGCCACATAGGTAATCATTCCTCCAGAATCACAGTCCCTAGTGATTGAGTTTCTCACAAGCATTAAAGCTCTCCCAGCCTAAGCCCCAGACATCAGGGAGCAGAAGCAAGGTATCCCAAGGTTCATCTGAATTCATGCCCCCACAGAAACAATAAGATAATAAAATTATCATTGTTTGAAGTCACTAAGTTTTTAGTTGAATTGTTACACAGCAATATGTGTAACCAGAATTCTTATCTGGCATTAAAGTAAAGGATGTAAGCTGGGAAACTAATGATAAAAAAACCAGACTATAAAGCTGTTGCAGTCATCCTTTCTAGGATAAAAGTCTGAATAGAAAAAGACATGCAAAAGCAAAGAATGTTCCAGACATTTGGCATTGATTTCTAAATCCCAAACTGGATTTTCTCTTTGGTTGAAAAGATGAGGGCCTAGGACTTGTAGAAATGTGTACATTCTTGCAGTTCATTCAATACATATTTACTGGGGGTCTGCTAGGGAATGGCATGGTGCTAGGTTCTAAAGATGATATGAACTAAATTTTATTCAATTTATGCCACTGTATTAAGATTCTCTAGAGAAACAGAACCAACAGGACAGACAGATCTGAGGGAATTTATTATGGAAAGTTACATGGGAACTTATTATTTTAAGACAGAGGCCAAGAAATCCCACCATACGCCATGTGCAAGCTGGAGAATCAGGAAAGCCAGTGGTATAATTCAGTGTGAGTCCAATGGCCTGAGAACCAGGGGAGTTGATGATATAACTTTCAGTTTGAAAATGGGGGGGAGGGCGTGGGGGGGCAGTATAAGTCCTGGAGTCTGAAGGCGAAGAACTTGGAGTGTATATGTCCATGGGCAAGAAAAGATGGATATTCCAGCTCCAGATGAGAGACTGAATTCATCTTGCCTCTGCCTTTTTGTTCTATATGGGCCCCCAAATGATTAGATGATGCTTACCCACATTGGTGAGAAGAGATCTTCCCTTTTCAGTCCACTGATTCAACTGTCAATCTCTTCCAGAAATACCCTCTCAGACATACCCCAAATTAATGCTGTCTGGGTATCCCTTAACCCAGTCAAACTGATACTTAAAATTAACCATCACAGCCAATGAAGAATGTATAAACTACATGGAATTGATTGATTAGAGATAAGCTAGGACAAACCCCAAATAGTAAATTATCAACATAATGCAGCATTATTTAAATACTGAAATAGTGGTCAGCAATATTTTCATTAGGAATTCAGTGAAAGAATGTTAGTAAGAGCAATCAAGAGGAAAATCTGCAGGATTTTGTTATATAACAGAATGAACACAGGTCTAGGAGCAAAATCAAAGTTTCAGTCTATTTTTCTGGTCCCCAACTTCTTCAGTGGTCAGATTAGATAAAAACCACAATCCCTTAAGTTTGAGAAGCGTACGTGCTTTCATGTGAATGATCTCATTTGTTCCTCTTAACACATGTGGGGGAAGGTAGAGGTAGGGGCTGAGGTGGAGAGACCAGAGAGAAGGGAAAAAGTAGAGTATGCTATATTGAATCCTGTAGTGATTAGGAGCATAGGCTATATCAGAAAGACCTGATGTAAGCTGTGGGTCTCTTTGACTAAATTAATTCAACTTTTTAAGCCTTATCTGGAAACAGGAATTCATCATAACAATATTTCCTTCATGGATTAGTTATGAAGATTAAATGATAAAGTGCATGTAAAATACTTAGTGCTCATTAAATATTGGCTTATATTATATCTTGTTAAAAAATTAATAAGGTAGGGCCGAGTGCAGTGGTACACACCTGTAATCTGAGCTACTTGAGAGGCTGAGGCAGGAGGATCACAAGTTTGAGGCCAGCTTCAGAAACTTAACAAGACTCTCTCTTAAAAAATATAAAGGGCTGGAGATACAGCTCAGTGGTAGAGTGCCCCAGGGTTTAATTTCTGGTATCTTTTCTTTGTCTCTGTCTCTGTCTCTCTGTCTCTCTGTCTCTGTCTCTCTCTCTCTCTCTCTCTCTCTCTCTCTCACACACACACACACACACACACACACACACACTACAAATGCACATAGTTAAAAGTGAACTGATCCGTTCCATCAATTAATTAACAGATCAATTCATTTTTAATTATGTAGTCACAAAGAGATCCCAGATTCATAGGACTTGGCAGTTTCAAACCAGATTTCTTCTACTGCTTTCTGGCCCATGTCAAACATTTGCTGTAAATGTTTCCACCCAGTTTTTGCAGTAATCATGAGATACTCTTTATTCTCTGGGTGTAGTTGGCAAGAGTATGTAGCCATGACAAGTGACTGACAAAAGCGACTACATACAAGTAAAAACAAAGCACTCCTCTCCACAGCTGTCAGTGGGATTATACTTTCAAACCCTGCAAGAACGTGACCTCCTACTTGTATAGGATTCTTGCTTTCAATCATCATGTACATGATGGTGATTGCCACTTCAAACACATAGTAGCCATAGCTCATGTCTCCAAAGTCTAAAATCCCAGATACTTGATATACAGCATCTCCAAAGGCTGAATTGCTGGACTCTACTAAAATGTTATGGTCGTTAAGATCGCCATGATTGATACCTGAAAGTAGAAAAATCATGTAAAAACAGTTATTTAATATCCCAATTCATTCTCTTTCCATTTCTTTTTCTTAGGCAAGGCTATTCAAACAATTTGAAGAGCAGTCAGGGATAAAGGGTCAAACCCAATTTTATTGAAATAAAATAATTTTCTCTGAAAAGGACAAATGCATGTAATTTTGTGCTGTCTGCATTTGCTTCTCATCTATACAAAACCAGAAGATGGAGAATGCAGTCATTGCAAATATTTGATTTTGACTGCTAGAAGAGTAAATCGAAAAAGAGTACTACTCAAAGCCAGAAAGGTTTAAAAAGAATATAAACATTTTCAAATTACTGTAGAAGGCAAGGAGTTCTAGAATGGACCAAAGAAACCTTTATTTACATCTGGGGTTTCAAAACATTTTTTGTTTTTTATGAGGACAAGGCATTCCTGATTTCCCATTTTTTGATTACTGGAATAGATGCTGGTATTTTTAAGTCAGTACCTCTTAACATGGAGTCTGTGGCCAGTGCTAGCCTACAAAATGTTACTATAACATGAGATAAGAACAGAAACAGAGTATTTAGAAAGTTTTATAGTAATTTGGACTGGGGTTGTGGCTCAGTAGTAGAGTACTTGCCTAGACTGTGTGAGGTACTGGGTTTGATTCTCAGCACCGTATATAAACGAATAAAATAAAGGTACATCAACAACTAAAAAATATCTTTTAAAAAATTTTATAGTATTTGACATTTAAGAGTATGATCAGTGGCCTTATCTCATTGAACAGAGTGTAGATCAATTTAAGTTTTATCTAACAGGGATAGTTGGATATTGCCTGAGCTGTCAACTAATCATTCACAGTAGGACCATGTAATACACAATGGGTTGGGGGAAAGAACCCTCAAACTTGTTGTTTACTATGTATAGTTTGAGAAGTACTGATTTAAGCCACTGACTAAGGATTAAGATAAGATTAGGGTGTCCATGAGCAGTGAACCACTGAGAAACAAACTTTATAAAGAAAATGCTAATTTCTTCTATATGATTCAGGATTGTCTAAATCATGCTTAAATTATGAGGCACAGTGACCGGTACACAGAACCAATGAACATTACTATAAATCACAGATGTTAAACCACACATTTCTGAAATTTATATCATATAATTGTCTCAAAATATATAAAGCAAAATTTGACAGAAATACAAGCAAAGAATAGACAATCCACAGTCATAGTGGGATATTTTAAATATACGTTACTTAGTAATTGATAAAACAAGTAGATTTAAAAAATAGTAAGAGGTATAGAAAATTTAAACATGATTAACATATTTGACCTTCTGGGCATAGATATAGCTCCATATTCAACTACTACAGAATATACTTTCTTTTCAAGCACATGTGATCTATTGATAAAAATTTACCAAATACCATATTATAAAGATTTAAATCTGCATCACAAAGTAAATTTCAAAGGACTGAAATCAGATAGCAGGGCTCTGTTCAATATGGTAGCCACTAACAAATATGTAGTCATTTAAATTTATTAAAATTAAATAAAATTGAGCTGGGGATGTGGCTCAGTAGTAGTGTCTGCCTGCCATGTACAAGGTCATGGATTTGATCCCCAGGACAAAAACAAACAAACAAACAAGCAAACAAACAACAAAAGATGAAACTGAAAACTCATTTCCTTAGTTGTAGTAGCCACATTTCAAGTACTCACTTGCCACACATAATGCTTATTGTATTGGACAACAGATATAGAACAATTCTTTCACTGACTAGAATCCTACTGGACAACATTTATAGAGTATGTTCTCTAACTACAATGAAGGGACAGCAGAAATCAATAGTAAAAAGATAAAGGTTTCGGAAAAAAAAGTTTAGCTGGACACAGTGGTGTATGTCTGTAATTCCAGCAACTCGGGAGGCTGAGGCAGGAGAATCACAGTTCAAGGTCAGCCTCAACAACTTAGTGAGACCCTTAGCAACTTAGCAAGACCATCTCTCAAAATAAAAAACAAAAAGGACTAAACTGGGGTGACAGCCCCTGGATTCAACCCCCAGTATTAAAAAAAAGTTTCTCATATTCTGGAAAAAGAATTTATAGATTCAGGTGAAAAGAAGAAATTATAAGGTGAATTACAAAATATTTTAAAGTAAATGAAAATGAAAAACTATGTATCAGTACTGGGGGTGTGCAGCCTGTAAGAGATTGATAGCTACATTCTCTAACATAAAGTGCTTCGAAAAACACCTAATTAGGAATGAGAGTTCAAACTCGAAGTTGCTAGGACTTTTCTCAAATTTCTGTGCTGATGTAGGCCTCAGTTCCTAGGCTGAACTCAGCAGACTGGCCCATGAAAATTTCTATACTGAAACAGAGGAAAGGATCCATCAAAAACTAAACCTCTATTATCCTGGGCTTGGCAGCAAGAAGAGGATAGTAGGGGAAATTCTGCAATCTGAAAAGCAAATTGAAAGGTGACAATATGGAAGGAGGTGTAACATTCCAGCTCCTAAATCTAGAAATAGTAATAAGAACCCAAAACAACTTAATAGAAGACCAAGGATCAGAATTCCCAGAAGAAGACTGTTCATAAGAAAAAAAAAATGAGACCATTATAACTCATCAGCAGCTGCATAGTAGGCCATGCAAAATGGTGGAAAGAACAAAAATTTTCCAAAGAATCCAAATTGGAATGCTACATTATTAAGTCCCAGCTTGCTTTTTAAGTTTCAAGATAACCAAAATGATGCTGGAGCCAAATTTAGTGAGCTACCATCACCCAATGTTTTTCCCAAACCACCAAGACACTGGGTTCCTGTTAATTTTAATCCTTCAAACAGGGAAATAATGACATCTCAACTTAAAACTGTACTTAAAGGCCAGGCATAAGATAACATACATGTTAAAACTTAGTTTTGTTTACAAATAGTTGTCAGTTGGTCTGTAACAAATTACAAATTTACTAGGGAATTAATCTATTTGTATGAAACTGCTATTAATATAAGACTATTAATCAGACTGCATCTCATTTGTTTTATGTATTGTGTGTACTCTAATATAATAGTAGTTATCAGTAAAACTTAAAATAACTAAATAATTGTACCTGATAGTAAGTATTCTCAATTGAATAACTTTTAAGTGAAAACCATTCAAGTTAAAGTTTGGGGGATGGTAAAGAAGTTAACTTTTTCTATTGTTTACTTGGGAAAATATAATAATTTAAGATTCATGGATCAGTAGATTTGCTTAGTGAACCAGACAGAGTAAGCATCTAGCTGAACCAAGGATTGAAAACTAGGTGGATATTTGAAGGTTTAATGACCTAGAAAGCCAAACTACTAAAGGGCCAACAACTTAATGCACTGCCAAAAGAAAACATGAATTTTTCTTAATAGCTGTATTTTTAAAAAATATTTTTTCAATGTTGATGGAGCTTTATTTTTATTTTATTCATTTATATGTGGTGCTGAGAATTGAACCCAGTGCCTCACACTTGCTAAGAAGTGCTCTACTACTGAGCCACAAGCCCAACCCAATAGCTGTATTTTTTAAACAGCACAGTGGTGAATGTGTAAAGAATATTTGGAGCTTATTCAAATGAGGCACAGTATACACCAATAGCCCTGTTTCTTAAACACAGTAGATAGGTGTCTGCTAACAGATGCATCAAAACTATTTCTTATAGAAATAGTGTTGAAGCTTTCAAAATACATTTTTGTATTACAATACTGCATAATCTATTTGAACAGTATTTGGCCTCATATTCTTTGCAAAGCTTAAAATTGGGAGTTGTGTTATGTGGAAATTCTAAGTATATAGGGAAGAAGAGCCATGTAATAAATACACATACTGTGTCATATGTAAAGTTTATTTTGGCCTTTTTCCTACAAAATGGAGGATGTTAGTATGATTTTGCTGAATGTAAGATCATGCACTGTTTTTTATACTCTGGCCTAATTTTAAAATCCAGAATTGTTTTTAAAGTTTGCCTTTATGCTAAAGTGCCATGTATATATGTCATAATTGATTTGGTCATAAACTATATTACCCAATGTAATAAATTTTGTTCTGTAACTAAAAAGGTTTAAGCTGCTAAAATATTTCCTGTTTTTATGTAAAATGCAATACAGGATTCTCTACTCTCCAGCCTATAAAACCAAAGATTCACTTTGGCTTTCACCAATTCTTTTTTTTTTTTTTAATATTTATTTTTTAGTTGTAGTTGGACACAACACCTTAATTTCACTTGTTTATTTTTGTATGTGGTGCTGAGGATCGAACCTCGCACATGCGAGGTGAGCGTTCTACTGCTGAGCTACAACCCCAGCCCTCACCAATTCTTATAACCCATAAAATACAAAAAGTGTTTGGTGCCAGTGGTCTTGGGTTTTTTTGGTCATGAGTAAGTACAACCCCAGGGACCACTAATGCAAAAGGCATAATCTCTTGCATAATATCTCTTACCTTTACCAACCTTAAGAGAAAATGCTAAATATAACAGTTAACTTAATAGCAAGTTAGAAAAAAGTGTGTGGGCCAATTAAAAAAACTCTGATTGTTAATGCCCTATTTTCTAATTTGGCACCTTTTAAAAATATACATATATTTTTAGTTGTAGATGGACACAATACCTTTTTTTTTGTTGTTTATTTATTTTTATGTAGTACTTAGGATTGAGCCCAGTGCCTCACACATGCTAGACAAGTGCTCTACCACTGAGCAATAACCCCAGCCTTTTGGCATCTTTTTTGATGTTTATAAGCAGAATAGCTAAGTTGTATTTCTCCAAATGAACTCAGATGAAATATTGCCCAAATCAAATGTTTAATATACCAAAGACAAAGCTTATGCAGTATTTATTGTATATGGTAAAAATTTGAAAATAAAATTCAAACTAAACCCCCCCCCCCCAAAAAAAAAAAAAAAAAGATTAAGAATGGCATATACCCAAATAAGCAGTTGAAAAAGTAGGGGCTTTAGCAATAATATCAGAACAATTGATCTTTACAATATGAAACAAACTAAAGCAATTATAAGAAACAAAATGAGGAGGATATTTTCCCTCTACTAGACCAGAAAAATAGCCTAACAAAAATACACTTCCACATTTTGTTCTTTAAAACAATAGGATTAGCTGGGCAAGGTGTGTTTGTAATCCCAGCTACCTGGAAGGCTAGAGCAAGAGGATCTCAAATTCCAGGCCAACCTGGACAATTTAGTGAGACCTTGTTTTAAAAGAAAAAAGGGCTAGGACATACCTCAGTGATAGAAGCCTTGCTTAGCATGCATGAGGTCCTGGGTTCAATCCCTGATACCACAATCAGTCACACACACACACACACACACACATCTCACTATATTGTCACACCCCTAATGAGCTAAATTTTCATCTTAAGGAGTTAAAAAAAAAAGCAAAATAGGCCAAGAGAAAGAAGAAAATACTAATTTTAAAATATAATAAAGAGGGTCTTCAGAAAAACTAAAAATAGATAAATCTTTATTAAGATTGATCAGGAAAACACGAGACAGGAATCTAATAATCATTACTGAGAATAAAAAGATATCACAAAAGATTTGGCAGACTTTAAAAATAAATAATAAAACAATAAAATGATATAAAAATAAATTATGGCAATAAGTATATTAATTTGGATGAACAAATTACTAGGAAAATATAACTCCCTAAATCTGACAAAATAAGTAAAATATAAATAAAAATAGTACTATAAATATTAAAGAAATTAAATCATTTATTTAAAAATTTCCCCTATAGGAAATCCAATATCAAATGGCTTCATCATAAAATTACTTTCAAATGTTAAAAAAGAAAAACAAAATCCCATCTTCCAATCTCTGAGAGGACAGAAAAACTAACTCATGTTATGAGGCTAACATAAAACCAAAAAGGGACATTTTGAGAGGAAAACTATAGGTAAATTTTACTTGTGTACCTGGATGTGAAAATCATAAATAAAATGTTTTCAAACCGAATAAGATGATAAAAAAAAATGTATATCATGTCCAAGTTAGGTTTACACCAGGAATGCAATGTTGATTTAACATTAGAAATAACCAGTACAATTTTACCATATCAGAGAAAAATAATGACCATCTCATGTTTAATAAAATTCAACATGTATTCATGATATAAATTCTTTTTATTTTATTTTTTAATTTGAGACAGAGTCTCACTATATTGTCAACTGATCTTGAACTCAACTAATCCTTCCACCTCAGCCTCCTGAGTAGCTAGGACTACAGGCATATGCCACCATAACTGGCTCATATGCATGATACAAATTCTTAGTAAACCAGGAATAGAGGGGACTTCTTTAATCTTGTGAAGGCTATCAACAAAATAACTTATAATAATCCCCACAGGTAACAGAGAAAAACACAAAGGTGCCCAGTAAGGTAAAGCAAAGCAAAGAAATAAAAGAATTGGTTGTTTTTTTTTAATAAAAGTATAATTATTTATAGATGATACATACAAAGAAACTTGAGAAGCATTTTGAAATAAACATTTGAACTTAAGTTGCTGAGATTAGTCTTGAACTTGCAATCCTCCTGCCTTAGCCTCCTAGGTTGCTCAGATTACAGGTGTAAATTTAAAAGAATAAAAAAAAATGAATATTACAAAGTGCTGTTTCTATATACTAGCAACAAACAGAAAGTGAAATTTGGGATAACATTTAAATTAGTATTTTAAAAAATCAAGTACCTAGTAATAAATCAAGAAAAGAAGTATAAGACCTCTCTGGAGAAATTTATAAACTTTAATATCTATCTATTTATCCGTCTATATCTTAAATTCTAATCCATGAACACAGTCTATCTTTTTTTAAAAAAAAAAAAAAATTCAGTTGTAGACGGGCACAACACCTTTATTTTGTTTATTTAAGGTACTGTGGATCAAACCCAGTACCTCACACATGCAAGGCAAGCGCTCCACCACTGAGCCACAACCCCAGCCCATAGTCTATCTTTATTTAAGTAGAGAGACAGATAGACTATGTTCACAGATTATAATACCAGTCTTATAAAAAATAATATACACTATAATGTCCATTTTCTCCAAATTTATCTAGAGACTAAATCCAAAATCTCAACAGATTTTTTTAAAAAACATGACATGCTAATTCTAATTGATATGAAATGTAAAGGACCAAAAATAGTTAAGACTCTTATAGGAGAACAAGAATGTGGGAAGAGGGTTAAGGTTGTAGCTCAGTGATAGAGTGCTTGCCTAGCATGTGTGAGGCACTGCGTTCAATCCTCAGCACCACATAAAAGTAAATAAATAAAATAAAGGTATTATGTCCATCTACAACTAAAAAAAAATGCCCACTCAAAAAAAAAATGTGGGAAGATATACATACTCTAACCAGATATGAAAACCTAAAAAGTTAGATGAACGTGATCAAGGAATGGGGAAGGAGGGAGGGAGGGAGAAAGTGCTGGGGAGTGATATTGGCCAAATTATATTGTTACATTGTGTGCATGTTTAAATAAAGTGTAAATAATATTATAATAATATGCATAAATATTCATTAAATTAATACTTAAATATAATTATTAATATAAAAAAGAAATAAGGTAAAAGTATTATCACTATATGAATCACTACATAAAGCAAAAAATTTAAAAAGCCAGGAAGATATAGGAATTTCAAATTACTGGCGTCATGCAGAAAATGATCAGTGCCATACACATACCTAGAAAAATTACATTCATTCAAAATATGAGGCAGGGTTCTAGTACATGGAAAAAAAAAGTTAAACAAATTAAGATAGGTTGGGGGCTGGGGTTGTGGCTCAGTGGTAGAGCACTTACCTTGCATGTGTGAGGTGCTGGGTTCAATTCTCAGCACTTCATATAAATAAATGAACAAAATAAAGGTCCATCAACATCTAAAAAATATTTTTTAAAAAATTAAGATAGTTTGATCTTTAGGCACAATGGCACATGCCTGTAACTAGCTACTCAGGAGACTGAGTTGAGAGATTCACAAGTTCAAGAAGAGGTCAAAGCCTGCTTAGGCAACACAGCAAGACCCTGTCTCAAAATTTAAAAGGGATGGGTATGTAGTTCAGTGGTAGAGCATGTGCCTAACATGCATGAGGCCCTGTATTTGATCCCTGTCACCTCAAAAAATAAATCTGACAATATAAATACTGAGAAAAATATGTACTTGATTGGGGAAATACTCACATTCTCGAAAATGACTTAATTTGGTCATTACTTCTTTCTTGAACAGCTGAATGACCTGCTCAACAATCTCCCGATTTCGATTCTGGCCCAAGGCATCCACATATTTCTCCAGAAGAGGAATGTTTTTCAGATTCCAGATGAAGTTCTCCCGATGAAGATTACTTAACTTTGGGTGATGGAATTTCTAAATCAAAAGTAAGAAACAGCCTCTTGATAGAGCAACCACTACTGAGAGCTCCACTATGCAAGAGGACTACACCATTGTATTCTCTCATGGTCTTTGACCTGCTTATTGACATTAATCCACAAAATTCATATTCATACAAAATCTCAAAGTTTTGGGAGCACATTTCTATCTCACTTGATCCTCACCACTGTGTGAAGATAGATATTCACATTGGAGACAGCTCTCAACTCTATTTTCACCCACATGAGTTGACCCTGGTCCCTTGTTACCACTCTTGATTTCATCTTTCACTACTTTTATTCACTAGACTCCAACCACACTGGCCTAATTGCTGCTCAGGGAACCTCACAGCCTTTGCATTTGCTGTTTCCTCTTCCTGGGATGCCTTCTTCACATATCCACATCATTAGTATTATCATTCCTACGGGATGTTTACTCAGAAAACACCTTCTCTTCTTGACCCCTCCATTTAAAATTTCAACCATCTCTCCAATATTCTGTAGCCTTCTTCTATGGAACATCTCCTACGGGAGGCACTTTTGGCCCTTATTCAGATGGCTCTGACTGTGTTCTTCCTTTTGCTGAATTAAAATCTGATTCTCCAATACTGTCCATGCTACTGGTTCCAACTGCAATCTCTGGGGCCATTTGCAACAGGATTAGTTCTTCTTCCACAAAACTGTCCTCCAGATCTTTGAAGATAGCATCCCTGCCCCTTTGGAGTCTTCTCTTTTACAGATCAAACCTATCTGGATCCTTCAACTATTTCTCATAGGATATGGTTTTACCATCTGGTGTGTTAAATGCTACTTTGCATCACAAAAGTACTCTACAGAGTAAGCACTGAAAACACTATTGTGAGTTGTTTCATCTGAGGAGTGGGATTATAATTAGGAATGGAGATGATGGGAGAGAGGATAAATATTCATGTTATGTTATTCAGTACTATTTGATATTTTGCCATGCACCTACATTACTTTTATTTATTTTATTTTTTGGTTATCAGGGATTGAACTCTGGGGCACTCAACCACTGAGCCACATTCCCAGCCCTATTTTGTATTTTATTTAGAGACAGGGTCTCACTCCTGTGTGCCACCGCACCTAGCTGTTACTTTTATTTTTAAATAAAATAAAATATAACACTTTTGAGTTTCCAGTGGAGCACCACTTTACTCAGAGAAGGCTTGGAGTCAGCTTCTACAGTGGTGGCACTATTGTCCCAGGCATCCACAGGAGAGCCTCTCAGTTCTGATATTATAAAGTAGTGCAGGGGCTGGGGTTGTGGCTCAGTGGTACATTGCTTGTGTAGCATGTGTGAGGCACTACGTTCGATTTTCAACACCATATGAAAAAATAAATTAAATGAAGTAGTGCAAAGAACACCGGGCTTGAGTCAGACAGATACAGGTTTCAACAGGCTCTACCACTTAGATATTGAATATCAGTTTTCTTTCTTTTTTTTTAATATTTTTTTTAGGTGTAGATGGACTCAATATAATGCCTTTATTTTTATGTGGTGATAAGGATCGAACCAGGATCCCACTCGAGCTAGGTGAGCACTCTACCGCTGAGCCACAATCCCAGCCCTGAATCTCAGTTTTCTTAACAATAAAATCAAGATATCTGTCATTTGTGAACTAAGATAAGAAATAAAGACCTAATACATATAGGTCCTCAATAAATGTTTGTTGAATATGAATTTTGCATCTGAGCTGGCCTGTCTTTCCTCTGTTCCTTGTACAGCAACCTGAATTCCTGACAGTTTAATCAGAATTCTATTAGTCTATCTCCTCCCCTTCATTAGTTTCCTTACTCTCTCCCCTTACCTCAGCTCCCATTTGGTCCCTTGACTTATAAATGCTTCAGTTCTGATTCCTGTAATCTGCAGAGCTCCTTTCTACTCTGGATCCTGTGGGTCTGCCCAGCTGCTAGAAGCTTCAATGGCTCACCCATATCCCTAGCAGAGTAGTCACAGCCTCTGCCACACCTACTGGACTGAACCACTGCACCTGTGCAGTATTATTTTTCACTGACACTGTAGTTCCTAGTACTTATAGGAAAACTGAGAATTTACCACCTGCAAATGCATGGGGAGAGGCTGGTGAGGGGATGAGCAATGGGAATAAAGTATCATAAAATGAACAGCAATACCAAGCAAAGAATGCTTTCCTTCATTCCCTCTAAAGTTTCCCTGTTCCATATAAGACAACTTAAAATTTTTAAGTTGCACAAACAGTGTAGTAGGTGGCTGACTGCACAGCAGAACTCATGTCAGCAATGAGATATGGTGCTGTCTGCCTCTGAAAACTGTATTAGTCATTTTAGGATTCAGCAGAGAAAGTTGAAACTTCAGTAGCAAAGGCATATAAATGAAGCCCACCAACAGGGTAAAAAGATCGATGCTAAAGGAGTCTGTGTAATCCTTCTTGAACTACCAATGACATTCTTTACAGAAGTAGAAAAATCAATCCTAAAACTTGTATCGAACCACACACACACAAAAAAAATTCAAGTAGCCAAAGGAATTTTGGGAGAAAAAAAATCAAAGTTGAAGGCCTCCCACTTCCTCATTTAAAGTTATATTACAAAGTTACAATAATCAAAATAGTATGACACTGGCATACAAGCAGAAAGACCAGTGGAAGAGAATAAAAACCTAAAAATAAATCCAAGGATATATGGCTAACTAATTTTCAACACCAAAAAAGATATAATAGGGAAAGGATAGTCTCTTCAAAAAATGGTGCTGGGAAAATTAGACATCTACATGCAAAATAACGGAATTGGGCCCATATATCATATACAGAAATCAATTAAAATGAAAATATATATGTAAATGTTAGACCTGAACCCATAAAGTTCCTGGAAGAAAACAGGGGAAAAATTCCTTGTCAACAGCCTTGACAATGACTTCTTAGATATTATACCCAAAACTCAAACTACAAAAGTAGAAATAAATATATGGGATTATATCAAATTTAAAAGTTTCTACACAGGAAAGAAAAAGATAACAAGCTGAAAAGGCAATTTACAGATTGGGAAAAAAATATTTGCAAACCATGTGTCAGATAAGGGGTTAATATTCAAGATTTATAAAATACTCCTACAACTCATAGCAAGAAAACATATAACCATTTTTTTTAAATGGGCAAAGGACTCAAATAGATATTTATTCAAACATGACATAAAAATGGTCAACAGGTACATGAAAAGGTGCTCACCATCACTAATCCTCAGGGAAATGCAAATCAAACCACTGTGAAACATTTCCTCCACCTGTTAGGATAGCTATTATCAAAAACAATGGATTTCACTCTTACTTAATAGATTCTGACACTGCGGGAAGAAAAAAAAAAGAAGAGAAAACAAGTATTGGGAAGCTGTGGAGAAAAGGGAGCCCTTGCATACTGCTGGTAGGAATGTAGATTGATGCAGCTGTGAAAACAGGTTCCTAAAGAAATTAAAAACAGAACTTCCCTATGAGCCAGCAATCCCTCTCCTGGGTATATGCTCAAAGGAAATAAGACCACCACCTTGTGAGGACACCTATGCTTCCATGTTCATTGTACTGTATTTAGGATTTTTGCTGAGTAGATTGTAGCTGCTCTTGTCATGGCAGGAGGAATAATTATGTGAGGAGTCATATACATTAATTTGTTTTATTACAGTAACCATTTTATCATATATGTATCTTACAACTTGTTGTATACATAAATATACACAATAAAATTTATTTATTTTAAATGATAAGAAACCCGGCAGGCTGTGTGGCACATGCCTATAGTCCTATCAGCTCAGGAGCCCGAGGCAGGAGGATTGCAAGTTCAAAGCCAGCCTCAGCAACTTAACAAGGCCCTAAGCAACTCAACAAGACCCTGTCTCTAAATAAAAAACAAAAAGGGCTGAGGATGGGGCCCAGTGGTTAAGCACCCCTGGGTTCAATCCCTGGTACAAAAGAAAAAAAATCTGTTTAGATATTCATTTTAAATAGTTCATTTAGTAGCTCAAATATCTGAAGATAATAGAATTTACTGAGCATTATAAGCATTTCAAAGGTTTTTCTAAATACCATTAATAAATGCAGAAAATCTCCTAAAATACATTCAAATAGAACTGGATATTAATATCTAAATTATACTAATATTCCCAAATGGACTTTTTTTTTTTTTTTTTTTGATGGTGCTGAGGATTGAACCCAGGAACTTAGGCATGCTAGGCAAGTACTCTACCACAGAGCCACATTCCCAGCCCCTCAAATGGACATTTTAATGAATATTTACAAATGGATTTACTCAAACTTAACCGAAACTACTTCAGTTAAAATGCTTAATGTGTTTACCACCCAAAGCTATGCATGGCTCAGTAAAGCTTCATTGAATAAATGAACAGAGGGCAACAAAAAAAGGTCTGTTGGCTTACAAACATTTACTAAATTGTGGGCTAAGTGTTCCTAGATTATGGAATAAATGGTCCACTGAGTATATCTCTGTATGATGAGATTACTGGTAACTTGATTTTTGTGGGGCTGGGGATACTGGATATTGAACTTGGGGGCACTTGACCACTGAGCCACTTCCCTGTTGAGAGCCACAGCCGAAGGGGCCCCAGCAAACTTTCAGACTGCCAGCTGATGATTGGCTCACAGAAGCCCCAGCAACTTCTAGCTGATTGGCTCCTCTGCGGTGATGCTCATTGAGCTGTTTCCCCACCCTTTCAGACTGCCAGCTGATGATTGGCTCACAGCGCCCCAGCAACATCTAGCTGATTGGCTCCTCTGCGGTGATGCTCATTGGGCTGTTTCCCTGCCCTTTCAGACCACGGAGCTGCTCACTGGGGGACTTTTTTGGCTCCGCCCACGCAACCCAGCCAATCGGCCTCAAGAGCAGGAGGAGTGGGGGAGGTTGAGAGGCTTGTGGGAAGCCGGTGGTGGCAGTTGGGCTCTGAGGGTTTTTCCTGAGGAGCTGTTTTGTTTGGCATGTGTGGTTCTAAAAATAAAGTTAGTTTCTTTTGACAAGTGGCTCCTGAATTGTGCCCAGCCAGACTGCGGCACATCCCCAGCCATATTTTGTATTTTATTTAGAGGCAAGGTCTCACTGACTTGCTTAGTGCTTCACTTTTGCTCAGGCTGGCTTTGAACTTGTAATCCTCCTACCTCAACCTCCCAAGCCGCTGGGATTTTAAGAGTGTGCCACCGTGCCCAGCTGGTAACTTGAGTTTTCTTTGTATTTTTATTTGTTTTCTTTTAAGCAATGAATCACTAAAGGGTTTTTTTTAACCAGAGGAAATAAAGGTTATTTCTATTTTGAGGTAATTGAATAAAATAATACTATTTAGACTACATAACATGGACTTCGATGTCTCATCAAGAGGAGTAACAGGGACTGAGTCTAAACCCTGAACAAAATATCTGAAATACTAGTTTTTAAGTCATTTGACATTAGGCAATGACGTACTCGGATACTTGAGAGATGAAAGACAAATGAGCTGAGTCTGACCCTGCTCCTTTCCTGCAGAGGACATGGTGCAGAGAAGTGAGAGCCAGGTGGAGTTCCGAGAGCTCACTGGTTTGAGGAGGTAGAACTCAGAGTCCAGGAAGAACAAGATGGCTAGAGAATGCAGGACAGTTTACCAGAGATCAGAAAGCGCAGAGAGAGAACTCCAGAGATCTGTAGCAGGTCTCCTTGGAGAATCTGGCAATTGGTGTATGATCCACATATGAGTATGAGGAAACTGCTCAAGATCAGGGAAAGAACCACCTGAAAGAAATATAAGGGATAAGGCTTGACATACACGCAGGGCTGGAAACCTCCCAACTGGAAAAGAAAACATCACAGTCCAAAGGACAATGGTAGAGGACTGAGAAAGGTCTTGTATTACAGTGGGGATAACCATTCCTAGAATAAACCCAACCCTGGTCCCACCTATAAGGTATGTAAGCAAGACTCAAGAAGATCAAACTGCTTTCAAACAACTTACTGAATCTACTCAAGGTTGTTCAGTGAACATCAAGCATAAGAAACACAAAGAAAGCTACACAAAATCTAATCCTAACCAAATGCTCAAAACTAAAGATAAAATTTTAAAAGCAGGGCTGGGGATGTGGCTCAAGTGGTAGCACGCCCATCTGGCATGTGTGAGGCACTGGGTTTGATCCTCAACACCACATGAAAATAAAAAATAAAGATATTGTGTCCACCCAAAACTAAAAAATAAATATTTAAAAAAGTTTTAAAAGCAGTCACACACACGCACACACAAACACACGAGACACATTATGTTCAGAGGAAAAATCTGACAGCAAATTTCTTGTTGAAAATAATGCAAGTAAGAAAAAAGTAGAGCAATGTCTTTAAAATACTGAAAGAAAGATGGGCATGGTGGTGCACACCTATAATGTCAGCAGCTTGAGAAGATCACAAGGAGGCAGGAGAATCACAAGCTCAAAGCCAGTCTCAGCAACTTAATGAGGTCCTAAGCAACCTGGCAAAACCCTGTTTCAAAATAAAAAAATAAAAGGTGCTGGGGATGCAGCTCAGTGGTTAAGTGCCTCTGGGTTCAATCCCTGGTAATTGCTCCCCATCTCAAAAAAACCCCAAAAAAACAAAAAGCAAAACCAGAATACAAAAAGATTCTCAACCTTAAAGTGTATACCTAATAAAAATATCTTTCAAAATTATAAGTGGGGCTGAGTTTAGCTCAGTGGTAGAGTACTTGCCGCGCATGCTCAAGACCTAAGTTTGATCCCTAGCACCGCATATAAAAAATAATTTAACTAAAGAAGTTCATTACCTCAGACCTACACTATAAGAAATGTTAGGCTGGATTTAGTGGTACAGGCCTGTAATCCCAGCAGCTCTGGAGTCTGAGGCAGGAGGATCGCAAGTTCAAAGTCAGCCTCAGAAATTTAGTGAGGCGCTAAGCAACTTAATGAGACCTTGCCTCTAAATAAATAAATAAAATACAAAAAATGGCTGGGATGAGGCTCAGTTCAATCCCTGATACCAAAAAAAAAAAAAAAAAAAAAAAAGGAAAGAAAAAGAAATGTTAAAAGAGATGTGGTGTCATTGTATGCCATGATTTGTCATGGACTCTTTCCTTCTGCCAGCATGTCCATCTTCCTTTTCTCTACCTGACTGATTCACATCACCAGTTCAGATGTTACTTTTCTTTTTATTTTTTCTTGAATTCCTGCTATGTATGTATTTGACACTGCTAGACACAATGGATAAAAGATACATAAATAAAACACACACACTTTTCTTAAGAAGTTCACCGAAGTTCACTGCTTCTTATGAATCATATGTACAGGAAGCACAGAAATGAAACAAGTAATTATAATACCATATGTGGAAGACTATTATCCGAGTGGTCCCCTATGAACTATGTCTCCTGGTTCATGCCCTTATATAGCTTCTCCAGTTGACGTTAGTATTAGCCATGTCACCTGCTTGGGCAATGGGACATAAGCTAGCATGACAGAAGCAGAGACTTGATAAGCATGTGTAAACTGGTGCATGCCCTCTTGGAACTTTCTCTTTTAGAAGCCAGTAGCCATGCCATAAGGATGTTCCAGCCATCCTGAAGGATGAGACATCATATGACAAGAAGAGGACACATGGAGAAGAACTAAAGCTCCCCAATTGTACTCCCAGTGGAATCTAGCTACACGAGTAACCCCCCAATCACACTAAGCAGAGAAGAGCTGCCTGGTCAACCCACAGAATCATGAGAAATAAATAATTATTGTTTTAAGTCAATAAGATTGGGGATGGTTTTTTACAGTATAACCAGAACTTAGTGAATGTTTGTTGAATAAATGAAGACATTCTGTGGTTGGGTCTGAAAAATATTTGTCGAACATATTGTTTCTATAGGACAAAACTATCATTCTAATCCATTTACAACTTAGCTACTGCTTCACACAGAGCTCCAGCAGATTATAGCTTAGTTAGATGAAAAGTTCAGGCTTCATTTTGTTAGTATAGACTATTTTCAGTGAGCAGTATAAAGAATATCATGACTTCCTAAAAATTTAGATGCCAATATGTCATTAAAGTGAGAATCTGGGTGGAAGGAGGTATCCTTGCTCATATAAGATTAATTCATCTAAGACCCTGATCCTACATAAGACACCTCAGGAGCCCCATATATAAAGAGAATCTGATCCTGAGTTCATTTTGAAAGTGAGATAAATAAACAGAAATCCTTTACAAACAAAATAAAACCCCAAATCTTACCTCCAAAGCCTTGTCCAATTTGGCAGCTAGCCTTCCAATTTCATATAACAGCTGGGAGCTGACAGGAATCTTAGCAATAGGTTTTCCCGGGAGGTAAGTCAGTAGCCTCACCAAGTAGCTTTTGATTTCAGTGCCACTATCTAGATGGATAGAATGATATAACCTATCAACTCTTTTTGAAAAAGTTAATTAGAAGTTGTTTGCATTGGCAATTATTACTGAAATAAAACTGCGTAATAAAAAAAAAAAATGTGCTAACTGAACACAGCATTCTGAGGCAGAGCTGAGTGGATTAAAGTAAGCAGGTAGAAAGACAAATCTTAACACTGGAATTGGCCATTCACATACCAACAAGCATAGCTCTAACTCTGCTAGTCTTAGCTCTAAACAGAAATTACCTAGTTTGGTAAACACATGCCCCCAAACCACACTCATTCATAAATTTACAACTGAAATATAAACAAATGACTATTCCTCCTGGGCACAGTGGCGCATGTCTATAATCCCAGCTGCTTGGGAGGCTGAAGTAGGAGGATTGCGAGTTCAAAGCCAGCCTCAGCATAAGCAAGGTGCTTAGCAACTCAGTGAGACCCTGTCTCTAAATAAAATACAAAATAGGGCTGGGGATGTGGCTCAGTGGTAGGGTGCCCCTGAGTTCAATCCCTGGTACTCCCCCACCCCCAAAAAAGAAAAAAAAAAAGACTATTCCAGAATCACAGGCTTTTTCAGGGGCAAACTGCAGTATAGCCTGTTTGTAATACAGGACAACTTCTAATCCTCAGGGGCCCTACTGGTCCTCAGTTGTTTGGAGCAATGCAAATTAAGAAAGAATAAATGAACAATCGAGAGAAAAAGATAGTCAAGATTTCCAACCTTAAAAAGTTCCAAGAAATTGATTTCAAGGTACTGCTTGTTGAATTAGATACTTCTTCGCATTCAGCATTGAGAGATGAAAGGGACTATGTCTCACAGATGAGGACTTGAAGCCCTGGGAATGTAAGTCATCTGCCCATGTCACATATACAGTAAAGACATAACTGGCAACATGCTGATTTCTAATCTTCTGTTTTTTTCTACTATACCATAGCACCAAAATATGCAGCTAGTCTAATGAATAAAAATATTTAATTGGGATGAGGGGAGTAACTCAGTGGTAGAAGGCTTGCCTAGCATGCCTGAGGCCCTGAATTTGATCCCCAGCACTGAAACAAACAAACAAATCTTGTGGAATACAATTTTTAAAATGTTCTACTGATTTCCCTGTAGTTATCATTCATCAGGGCCTTTCTAAGCAGAAATGCTATACCAGATCCCAGCTCTTACCACTGGGAGACCCAATTTCCACTGTGCAGCTTCCCCCAACCACTAGAAAAAATAACCACATCTATGCTTAGAATTATGATCCTGATTTTGATACTGTATTTCTACCTGTAGCCAAAATGATGTAATGGGCCTGGACAGGGGACATGCTGACAAGTTAGTCATCTCTTACCTACAGACATAAGAGAGGTTGTGTTGTCTCCTTTAGTGCGACACACGGAGGCCGTTGGAAATCCAGCTGCTTTCAGAAACATGATGATGTGATTCTGCACTTCAATCAGGTCTGGATTTTTGCTGGCTTCTGTGTTGCTTATTTTGAGAACATATTCAATTGGGCCATCTGTAGTATCTTTAATTTTTGAAATGTGAACGTGAAAGTTTTGGTCATCATAACTGGGAAGTGGTTGGATCTTAGAAACTTTTAACCCAAATACCGATTCAACTACCGCAGAAGCTTGTACCTCAGTGAAAGTTGGTTTGGCAAGAGCCTGTGATTGCTCATCATCTCCACTTGACATTATGTCTGGGGTAAAAACAAGAACCAGAAAGGGGATATAAACATAAGGATATTTATTTAAATGATTACTTCTTTTGATTATTAATTAAAGTTTAAAAATCATATCAGTGCATGACATCAAAAAGTAGATGTTTTGGCAGTTGATTAAAACCATGGTACCATAAATTATTTTCAAACTTACCTTCTAAACTGAATAAGGACAGAACACAAGACAGGAAAGCCCCTTGATATCATCCAGTTCAATCTCTCTCCTCTCACCAACTTTACAGGAGAAATTTAGGTCCTAAGAGATTAAATGACTTGCCCAAGTTACACAGTCAATTTCAGTAAGAAGTCAACTCTCCAGATTGTTGACCCATGATCATGAAATCTTTACTACATTACCACCAGTCTTGGGCTAAAAGTTAAATTGAAGCACAGCAATCTTTTCTAGTCACAGTTTGTTATAAGAGTCACCATCTGACTTATTTCACATACTTCAAATATAAAAAAAAAATACGGACCAATGTGCATTATGTAAGGCCTTCTGAAAGATGAGAGTAAGGGGCTTTGTAACATCTATTTATGGAGTCACAGATTTACTAAACAAAAAGTGTAAACACAACTCTGAATAAGTTAGATGGCAGTTAAGTAACAAAAGAATAGAATGTCAAAGGAAAAAACTTGAATTAACCAAGTACAAACCCAGATGACTGAGTGGTTGAGGTTACCTTAAATTGTAAAGAAAACGTTTTCTATGGCCAAGAGGAATAAGGACTTAAGATAAAAATTAAGGCCAATTACAGAAAATAAATTTATGTCTGAATTTATGATCTATGAAGTGAGTATCTGTCAAAAGTATGGTGGAAAAACTGAGAGGGAAGAGAAATTACTATGATCTAAGGAAGATATTGTTGTGAAGATGGATTTCAATTGAGTTTTTTAATATGATTTGAGATAGGGTGGGGAAGACTATTTTCTCAGTGTTGGCAATTCCATCCTCAGCTACACATACCTGGCATCTTTCCTGAGCAATCAGATATATGTGAAGGGCAGTGTAGGACTTCTGAAAATCCTTAGGAACAAAATATTTAAGGTTCTTACAATTTTACCTTCCTTTTTTCCCAAAATAGTTCAATTCCAATCTTTCCTTCCTGCTAAGTTGCCAATGATTGATAACATCTTGGGGTGAGTTGCATTTTAGGATATAGTTTGTGTGTGCATGTATATGTGGTACTGGGGATTGAACCCAGGGGTACCACTGAGCTACATGCCCAGCCTTTTTTATTATTTGAGACAGGGTCTCACTAAGTTGTTGAGGCTGGGTCTCCAACTTGCTATCCATCTGCTTCAGCCTCCTAAGTAGCTAGGAATACAGGCATGTGTTATCGTGCCTGGCTATAGGGAATTTTTTGTGAAGAAAATGTTCTATATCTTACTTAAAAAAATTTTTTTTAGTTGTAGTTGGACACAATACCTTTATTTTATTCATTTATTTTTATGTGGTGCTGAGGATAGAACCCACCCAGTGCCTTGCACGTGCCAGGCAGGCGCTCTACTTCTGAGCTACAATCCCAGCCCCTCTATATCTTACTTTTTAAATTTTTTAAATTTTTAACATCACTGGGGACCAAATCCACAATGGTAGGCAAGTGTTCTACCACTGAACTACACCCCCAGCCCTATATCTTTTTTTTTTTTTTTTTTAAAGAAAAAGTGGGGGGGAGAGTGAGAGAGAGAGGAATTTTTTTTATTTTTTTTTTTTTAGTTCTCGCCTGACACACAACTTTGTTTGTATGTGGGTGCGGAGGATCGACCCGGGGCCCACGCATGCCAGTCGAGCGCGCTACCGCTTGAGCCACATCCCCAGCCCCACCTATATCTTGACTAGACTTTCATTACATGAGTGAATATATTTGTCAAACCTCCACTTAAAGCTTAAATAAATGTAAGCTCTGTTAAGTTAATGTAAGCTTAAGTAAATGTAAACTGTCAATGAAAGCTTTACCTTAAAAAAAAAAAAAAAAAGGTTAGCCCTTGTGAGAGATAGGTTAGGACAAGGAAGGGTGTATCTTAGGACTTCCTGAGAACTTCCAAAATCAAACTGTAAGACGCCACACCGCACTAGGAATGGAAGATACCACACGATGCAAATCACCAGAGATGTTCGGTTTTATTACAAAAGGCTGTGGGTTTATATAGACCTAAGGAGAGGTGGCAGGGATGAGGTAGATAATGGGTCACCAGTTTATTGGCAAGCTCTTCCATATGTCAGTCCCGGAGCCCAAGAAGTTAATTCTTATTGGGGCTAAGGTTTCCCACCCGCAGGACTTGAACATTGGCGCGGCGGGAACGTTTTGCGCCAGTGAAAGAAAAAAGAGGAGAAAGAGGGTCGTTAGGCGCCATGTTGGGGTTTTTCTCTGGGGTGCTGCTGCCGTTATATGTTTTCCCAACACAAACCATATGTCCATTAATGTCTAATCACTTCAGCTCTATCACAGCTTACTCTACTGAGGGGAAGGAGATAAAACTCAGGGATGTGTCCTAGGGTTCTTGTACATAACTCTCTCCTAACCTCAGGACCAAGACTATAGCCTGACATTGAAGTGATAAGATGGGTATAAACCTCAAATGCTAACCACCCAGCAATGGCCTTCAGCAAAGAAATTTCTCCCTCCTCTAAACCTGCATTCCCCCTGTAGCACTGGTTGATTTTCTTTTCCTGTTATTGCATTCTTGACAATCACTTCTGTGCTTACTTTTCTTTCTTTCTTTTTTTTTTTTTAGAGAGAGAGAGAGAGAGAGATAATTTTTTTTAAATATTTATTTTTTAGTTTTCGGCGGACACAACATCTTTGTTTGTATGTGGTGCTGAGGATCAAACTCAGCGCCGCGCACGTCTGTGTACTAAAAAGTTGTTGAGTTGAAAAAATAAGTCATATTTTAGGTCAGTGACAGAGCACTTGCCTAGCATGTGTGAAACACTAGGTTGGATTCTCAGCACCACATAATAAAATAAAGATAGTGTGTCCATCTACAACCAAAAAATATTTTTAAAAAGTCATATTTTATCTCTAGCTCTGCTACCTAACCTTTGAAACTTTGGACTAGCCACAAATTTTCTCAAGGTCCTTTCTAGCTTTAACATTCTTATGCTGCTAAAATTCTTCCTGAGATTAAATTTCCCCTTTTTCTTGTATGCAAAAGACTTCAAAATCATGGAACCAATGGCACAGATCAAGTCTGCTTCTCCAGTTCTTTTTATTTGAGACAGGGTCTTGCTAAGTTGCTGATGCTGGCCTTAAACTTCTGGTTCTCCTGCCTCAGCTGCCCAAGTAGCTGGAATTACAGGCATGTAACACCAGGACTGTCTGTCTTAACCAAATGTGCCCTGTGTGTGGAGAAGAAGGAAGGGGTTTCCAATCCTATAAGTTGTTGGTCTTTATTTCCTACCAACAATACTTTTGCTTAGCTCCTGAAAAATCTTAGGAAGCAAGTGTTTTCCAGTCCCAAGGTTTGTGCCAGAATCTCACAATCTTTGACCCACAACCAGAGGATCTGGACCTTAATCTCTCTACTTTGTGCAAGGTATACCACACAAAAAACAAAAGTCAATCTTCGATTCTTTTCTCTCCCTCCCTTCCAAAGTGATACAAAGTCCAATGAACTCTACTTTAACACGTCTTACGAATACCTTTCTTCTGCAACCCCTTCTGCTGTGTCCTGCTATCATTGGAGAGCATGGATTGTATCCCAAACATCTAGCTGGGTGCCTTATTTAATATTAAATAATGAACCAGGGGTTGCCTTTACTCCACAGGCTCACAGGCTGTATACCTTCAAGGGAATCAAGAAACAGTAAAGCAGGGATTCTATAGACTTAATTTTTTCAAAGATAATAATAATGCGCTACTGGGTGCTCTGGGGGGTCTCGCTGCTAAGTAAGACAAAGAGCAGTGGCTCACCGGGATACAGAGGGGCTGCTGACCCAAGAGGCAGGAAACTAGGTGAGGAGGAGGTAATAAAAGTTAGGTTCACAGCGTTAATATATAAGCAAGGTCCACGGGAGCATTAGAAATGGTTTCCAGCGTGCACCTTCCCTGTGCTGGAATCACCACACGGGTCTCAAGAGGGATGGCCCCGCGGGGGCTTCTCAGGTGCCACGCTTTGGTTCTGGGATATCAGCTCTGCCTCTGCGTTCCCAAGAGGTCCAGCCATAGAGCACCGTGACTTGCCACCAGTCATGTAGCGAGTATGAGGTGGAGCAGGGGGCTGGAGGAGTCCCAGGAACAGGACTCCCCGCCCCAGACTCTCAGCGAGCCGGCCTGTTCTCGGAGATACCCTCCCCAGGAGTACCCGGGGTTCACCTTTGCTTTCCCCACCTCTGCTCACCACCACGATTCGACGTCCAGAGGTGGCCCCACTCTCCGCAGCCCAGTGCTCCAGCTGCTGCAGCAAGACCAGGTGAGGTCCGAGTTGCAGCGTTTCGGCCCACCCCTCTTCTAAGCCCAGTAAGCCCTGACTTTTGATTGGCTCCTCCCTCCAACCCTAGCCGCGCAGTCAGTGCAGACTACTAGAAGGCAACGGTTGGATGGGCGCGCCAGGACTTGGCTTGGCCCCGCCCCTGAGGAGGCGAGCCAGAAATTCAGATATCTGGCTTCTGATTGGCTCATTGAAATCTGCCTCGCCTTCTCTTGGTGAGTACCCCAATCAGAATCTGGCTATCTTATTACGTAATTGGAACCTTGTTTCTGATTGGCCCCCTGAGGTTCCACCCGCCAGTGTGTCAGCCATTTACCAGGCTTTTGGTCCTTGAATGCACTTTTCAGTTCCGCCCTGTCGGTGGAGTATTTGCGTGAACTTCAACCATCAGCATTCCAAATGTTTGGATAGAGCTCTGTACTCGTTTATTTTCCTCACACCCCTTCCCGTTCTCACTGGAAGCAAGTATCTTGGAGGCCACCTTCGGAAAACAAGGCCCGAGGTAGACTCGAGTCCATCCTGGCCTCAGGAACTGCAGGGGTCCCTATAGGAGGTCCAGAGAGTTGAGCCTGACTGCATTCCACTAGGTCTCTTGACTTTCTCCGGATACTGAAATTTTCGAACCAAATGGTCTTATTTATTGAATAAGCCTACACACTAAGCCTCTAGGGGCACAGAGCCTCAAAGGATTTTGGTCATCCAACTTCCAGTTTCGGCTCTTGCCACAGCAAGAATTTTCTGCTCTCCTCCCAAGCCATTTAACTCAGTATAGTAGATGGTGAGGGAGAAGGAAAGCCTCCTTAATAAGCTTCCTAGGGGATCAACATCACAATAACTCAGGATGTGATGAACGACTCGTTTACATTGAGAAATAGAACTGATAATTGGGTCAGAATCCTTATTTATGTAGTGCAATCAGTGAAAGTCTGCAGAGACTACAAGATTTTCAGGAGGCTGCCAGAGACTCATGGGATAACAGGTTAGTGGGATGATCCTAACTGCGAAGCGCATAAGGCTCTGATAGCTTGATGTCTTTCTCCAGCCAAGCAGGACTTCTCTGATAGGTCAGAACTTTTTAGTGGAAGCGCTCTGGATGTCTGTCCACCCTTGCCTGCACGTGGGTCTCTATTTTGTTTTGTACCCGCCCTCCTCACCCTATCTCCCCCACTCCCACACACTTTGGGTCAGGATTTAGCGTGCTCAGGTTACCTATAGCCACCCTGATTGATTTGGATGTTTCCCAGACTTCTATCAACTGTTGAATGATGACTCTTTTCCCTTTAGATATAGTTCCTTATCTGCTTCACTTCTAATCTTCAAGTAGCAAGGCTTTTTGCAGCCTCAGGGGGAGACATACTTTTTAAGTCCCACTCCTTCCAATTGTCAAAAAGTAATTTTTCGGATTATCAGAATTAAAATCCTAGGGGCTGGGGTTGTGGCTCAGTGGTAGAGTGCTCGCCTAGCATGGATGAGGCACTGGGTTCGATCCTCGGCACCACAAAAAAATAAAATATAGTGTCCACCTAAAACTAAAAAAAATAAATATTAAAAAAAAATCCTATTGGCCAGCTGGGGTTGTAGCTAAGTGGTAGAGCACCCGCCTAGCATGTCTGAGGCACTGGGTTTGATCCTCAGCACCACATATACATAAAAAAAAATTTGACAACTTAAAAAAAAAATCCTATTGGCCCTCTTAAACCACTCTGCATGCTCAACACTTGGAGCACCTGAACTCTGTCCACCTTCTCTTGCTATTTCTATTGGTCTGTTTTCTTTCTGTACTCCTTTTGGGATGGAAGAATGGCAATGAGGATTTAATTGGGAAATTGAGAATCTGAGAGACAGGACTTCTAGATCTACAGTTGCCTTCTTTGGTATGAGCCCATTTCCATTCTCTGGACCTTCTTTAGAAATATGTTCTTTGTAACTTGCCCTTTTCACTTTGTTAACATTCTCATTTTAAAGAATATCCTTATACATAAATCTTTTGTGCATTTTTAATTGTCTTAAAGCTGTTAGGCTTCAATGGGATTCTAAGAGAATTCTAAGAGAACACTTTCAACCCTTTTTTTTTAAAAAAATATTATTTTAGTTATAGATGGGCACAATACCTTTATTTATTTAATTTTATGTGGTGCTGAGGATGGAACCAAGTGCCTCACACATGCTAGGGAAGCACTCCATCACTAAGCCAAACCACAGCCCTCAAGGCTTTTATGCAGCAAAATCATGTTTTGCCTCAATAATATCAACATTGGGTATCATGATTAAAAAGTTCCACCAATCTAAGACATTGTATTAACATTTTTCCTCTACTCTAACCACAGGGTCACTTCAAGTAGAGGTTCTCAGTGAGTTCAGTAATCAATACTTGGAGTGAAGCCAGGCACTGTGGTGCACATTCATAACTGAGGAGGCTGAGGTAGGAGAACCACAACATTGATGCCAGCCTAAGCAACTTAGTGAGACCCAAAATAATAAATAAAAAGGGCTGAGGATATAGCTCAGTGGTAGAGCACCCCTGGATTCAATTCTCAGTATTGAAGAAAAAAAAGGTGGGGCGGGGGGGATGAAAAGAAGTAAACAATTTGTAGCAAGATTATAGAAATGATTTTATATTACAAAACAATTTTATATTATAAAATAATGGGGGCTATAGCTCAGTGGTAGAGTGAATGTTTAGCATATGTGAGTCTCTCTGGTTCAATTCCCAGCACCAAAACAAAACAATTTCTATACAATAGTTGTGTAGCTTTCCATTTCCATTATATATTGCAAGATGTTCACCATGCAAACACAAAATTCAGTAACAACACATTTCACATTTATAGAGCCACTTTTCTATTACATCTACACCTGCTTTTGCAATAGATGGTTCGTTTTTCAAATATGGTCATGAGGTGCTTATTTGATGGGGACGTCTAAAAAAAATGCATCCTTAGGCAGGTTCATTGTGTGAACACCAATGTACTTACACAAATTAAAATAGCTAAGTCACTAGGTGATACAATCTCACAGGACCACTGTCATTTACATAGCTTACTGTTGATGGAAATCTCCTTTTGTGGCATATATCTATATCTGAATGCAGGCTGGGGACTGAACCCAAGGGTGCTGTACCACTAAGCTACATTCCCGGCTCTTTTTACTTTGAGACAGGGCCTTGCTAAGTTGCTGAGGCTGGCCTCAAACTTGTGATCTCCTCAGACTCCCAAATTGCTGGGATTACAGGTATATGCCACAACACTCGACTAAACACAAGCTTTATGGTCTAATATTTTGGAGAACTTAAGCCAAACAGCTCATATCAAAACAATAAATCTGCATGAAAACTAAATTAATTTAAAAGCAAAATTAATATCAAGTGAAAACTAAGTCAAATACATACAACACTAATGATACTGTAAGTCTCCTTCCAAGACTGGATATTCAAACTATCAGCGTACACCCAGGCTGGCCGTAGCCTTTGTATTGCAAACATCTTAGAAAATTTGTTAGAATCCTTAGAAAACTTGAATTTGACCATTTTGGTTTATGAATGCCAAATTTTGATAAATAAGCTTTAATCACTCATTTAGGTTGCTGGTAAGAGTGTGAGAAAGGACCTATTCTTTTAGATCAGTGGGGAGCTGGCCATATTTACAAAATATTATTTTAGGGTAGAGACGTAGTTCTGGCTCTGAGCTGCTGACTTGTGGCAGAGGGAGTAAGTGGCACCATTAGCTGGTCCTAAAGTAACAGGGCCCCAAAATACCATTCCTCTATCCTGCATCCAGAAAAGGTTCTCTCTGAACTGGGTATATTGTTCAATAGTCATGCCTAGCATGACTGAGGCCCTGGGTCAAAAATCCTGTTTTGGCAAAACAAAACCAACCTAGTTTCTCCTAGAATACATAATTCATAGCATGAGACCTCCAAATTTGTCCTGAATGTTAACTTAAATTAACTCCATAATAAAAGATCCATGGTATGGAGATTATATAGTGCAATTTATTAAGTGTTCAGTCTACCTAAATATAGATTTCATTTTTAGTTGTACAAAAGATGCACAGGCACATCAGGGAGAAGTAGAGTCAGTGGGTATGAACTACAAGGAGACTTCAACTCTAAACAAAGGTTTTTTAACCATCAAAACTTCAGAGAATAGCATGGATTGCCTAGCACAGTAGGCAGTCTCCACTTCTTGACTGTTCCCAATTAAGAGATGTTATTTGTATAAAGGATACCGAGATTAGTCTTTTCAGCTCTACACTAATTCAAAAATATCCATGTATCTGTTAGAACACTCCTGGAATCAAATTCAACTTAAGACTAGCCTACCCCTATTTTCAAATGTTTACCTTGATTTTCATTCATATTTGCCCTAGAGTGGAAGGGACAACTAGAGATAAGGATGAGAATGACTGTGCTTTACATCTGGCAGTTGTGTTGGGAATAGCTGTTTCAACATTTAGATAACATATTTGAAGAGAAATTTTTAGATTGCAACCAATTTCTTTTTCTTTTCTTTTTTGGATACCGGAGATTGAACCCAGGGGTGTTCTACTACTGATCTACATCCCCATGCCTTTTAAAAAACTGTTTAAAAATTCTGAGGCAGGGTCTCAAGTTGTTGAGGCTGACCTCAAATTTGTGATCCTCTGCCTCAGCCTCTGGAGTAACTGAGATATACATATGCACGATCATGCCTAGCATGTCTTTTTTTTTTTTTTTGCATAGTGTTTTATTTTCAATTACTACAAAATTACTTTATAATGAGTCAAATGTGATAATACATTTTCTTTATTAAAAATAATTTACAGCATCAGTAACATATACACAATTGTCATCAACTGAACTTTGCCTCCAATATATTTCTATACAATACTTAACATTATTGAACTTAAAACTGTTATACTGTTTTGTTGGCTTTTAAATAATAGACAATGATTTATAGATACATGAGATATATGGTTCCATAGCCACATATTGTGTGTAAAATTGATAGAAACATCAGCACTGTTACCCTTTAGGGGGAAAAAAATCAAAACAAAA